ATGATGTGTCAATAGTGTTAGTCTACATTGTATACATTTATTTTAAAAAATTTATTAATAATCTGACCACACCCACTAATTAATTATTATAAGTAGACCTGTACTTTGAGGGTTGTTAAATGAGTTTGGGACTTTATTATTTGTACCATCAATACCGTTTATTGTTGCCAGCACTGACAGAAGAATTACAACTCTGCATTGAAAAAATGACATTATTATTATCATTATTAATATGTGACCATAATTGACAAAAGGTACCTTATGGCGGATTTTTAAACTCATCATTATAATGAAAAATAACAACCTGTGAGTGCTCTGCTGGTCAACAATTGTTTCTAAAAGTTACATAGTAACTTTTTGCATCCTCTGGAGTAATTTTATGATAAATGGAGCTCAGGAAGTTGGATTTTTTAGGCTATAATGACCAATTTTTCTATCTGCCATTAGGTACCTTTTGTCAATTATGGTCACATATTATTATTATATTATTGTTATTGATGTCAGCTTTGTTGCTCAGTAAAGAGGAGTGCTTATTATCTGTGGGTGAGAGAGACTGAGCTGGAGGAGTTGGAGTGAAATAGAGACTAGGGAAAGGCATTGGCTCCTTACTAATAACTTTTAAAAGTAAAAGTAGTAAAAGTATTTTTTGAAAAGCTTGATTAGAAGTTTAGCTTTAGTTCTTAGTACAGTTACCTCAAAGTGACATCCCTATTTTATTTTCTTTTTTATTGGTTGACGATTGTTTATTTGCATGGTTTTGTTAGTCATTGACATATATGTGATATCATAAATAGGGTGATACTGTTCAGACCCCAACCATGAGGGTTTCAATCATGCAACTTCTGATGCAAATCAAAGAAAGGTTTTTCTCTGAGTTAGATTTGTTAACCCCACAGTGTTTACATTCACCTAGTTAATGCTAAGTATTTCTTTTTTATGAATTGCATCTAAGCCTACGAATGGTCTGTATGGCTCGGGAGAGTACAAACTACCAAGGTTTTCCTAGCCTTATGATAAAATAGTATTTATGTATACTCACTTAATGAGTATTAGACTAATAGATCAAGTAAACAGAACAAATCCTGGGCAATAGAAAGATCCAGGGCACCTAAGGCTATTGTTACAATAGAAATCATCCTCCATTTTGAAGTAGATGAGGAGGGACAATGCATTGGAGGGACAATGCATTGGAGGGCCAGGGGAGCCTAGAGATCTTTGCAGAATAAGCTGCAGCTGCTGCCCATGACATTACTAAGTCTCTTTGTGATGGATTGATCATTAAATAAAGATTATAAAGGTCTCGCTATAGGTAAAACACTGAAATTGTGCCAGGCTGATCATATATATTACGAAACTACATCATGTACATGTATATATACATAGTCAAAGTCAAAGATAGCGGATAGCCTTTACAATCAATAGGACTTCGAAAAATTCTCAGAGGCACCTCTCATCAGTGCAGCTACTAGACCTGTATATTCCCATCCACTTTCAACATTTTCCTAATCTAGCTTTGCCAGGCTAGATATAGTAGTCCTCTGAGTACAGCTATGGCCTTTAAAAACTAAATGCAAATAGCTACAAAACTTGCATTAATTTCTCCACTAACTTTACGTGCCACAATAATGATTATAAGTGAAGCTAACAATACTAACAATATAAACAGTCCTATTTCAGAATCTGTCATGAAAATTCACTATTAAATTTGAAGATTTACCTAGTTCCATTGTGTATGAGACTTAATGAGTAACTTCTTTTTCTAAAGACAAAAGTTGGAGCTTGGGCCCTTGGAGGAGGAGGAAGTTGCACTTGGAATCAGGTAAATCTAAATTTGTAATGCTACCTTTTGAAAGAGGTGCCTTAAACCTCATTATTATTCATAGTAATGAAGCTCCACGTTGCATATCCCAACTCAGTTTGGGATCAGCTGCATTGATATAGATACTCAGTCAACTAGTCTTCATGCATAAAGGCCATAATGAAAACTAGCCACTAGAGATGGGTGAATCCAGAACTTTGCATTCAATTCTGCTTCCAAATACTTTTGAGACTGAATCAAATATCAATTCCGAGTACTACATCTGCGCATGTGTAAAGCCACAAGTTATCATTTACAGCAATAAAAATGCAATAATAATGAATAATTAAGGCCACGTTTACACTACTCCGTTTTCAATGGAAAACGGAGAGTTTTAGTCACGGATACGAGTTTCGTTTACATTAAAACACATGAAAACGGATACTTATCCTGAGACATTTGCAAAGGAATACCTAAGCGGATACTGCTATAAACGAATGATAAGTTCGAATAAAAATACAGCTGCTAGACTAGTGTACACACCTGAAAACAGTATTAGCAAAAACTATTCCGATTCAGGCCACGTTTACATGGAAATGTTTTCGACCAAAAAAAGGAACTTTTTTATACAGATAAGCCTTTGTTTACATGAAAACGAAAAAAATGAAAACAAAAACGCACAAAAACTTACAGAAACAGAAACGCTATCAAAACCGAAAACTTGAATAATGGAATAAGGAAGAACGTCATTTCTAGCTTGTGTAAACTCAAAAAATGGACAAAAATGATTCTTGTAAGGTGTGGTTATAGGCGTGGTATGCAAAATAAAATGGCGGAGAAAGAGCTGTGTTTGTTAGTGTTGTTGCTACTGTGCTTACTACTTCTACAACAGAAATATATTATGATGAATCAGTATAGGCATTTTTATGTTCAGAGACGTTTACTACTGACAGGCTGTGGAAAAAGGTCAAAGGAAATGCAAGATAAGAGAGAGAAGTAGAAGATATTGGGTAAAACCAGAAAAGACAAACCTGTGGTGGAGTAACTTTTTAAGTGGGTGAGTGCTAGATGAGGAATGGAATGAGAATTTTAGGATGTCAAAGCATATTTTTTAAAATCTGACTGAATTGTTGCGTCCATTCATTGAACGGCAAGTAACAGTAATGAGGGATCCTGTATCTGTTGAGACACAACTAGCTGTAACACTTTATTATCTGTCTAATGAAGGACGTTTAAGAAAAGTAGCTAATGCATTTGGTCTTTCAAGATCTTGTTGTTCTAGAATTATTAGAAAGACCTTTGCTATCACAACACACTTGGGACCTGATTATATGAAACTACCCACGACATATGAGGGTGTACCAAGGGGTTTCAAAGTTTTTTGATGCATTTGGTACTCCTCAATGTTTAGGAGCAATTGATGGGACTCATATTGAAATTAAGCAATCTGCTGTGAATTCTTCGGATTATATTAATCGTAAATCAAGGTATACACTCAATGTTTAAACCTTATGTGATCATCACTGCTGCTTCATAGATGTCGTTGTAAAGTGGCCCGGCAGCATACATGATGCCAGAATGTTTGCCAATTCTAAGCTAAACTATTTGCTAAAATTAAGTATCATTCCACCATGTCCACAGAAAATGATCGATGAATCTGTGCCAGTATTTATTATAGGGGATCCCGCATATCCCTTGATGCCTTATTTAATGAAGGAATATGTTGGAGGCGGGGTGAATTGTCATGAGCAGTACTTTGGGTTAAGACTTTGCAGTGCGAAAAATGTAATAGAATGTTTTTTGGCAGACTGAAGGCAATGTTTGGGTGTCTTAACCCTTTACTTACGAATAACGTATTTTTACGTAAAACATTAATTACTTCATTGTACGATATACGTATAAATACGTAGCTAAGGACGCGTGGTCCTTTATCTTTCTTTGCTTGTTGTTGCAGCAGGTAGATAATTGCTTTTTTAAGATAAAGAAAGTTTACTTAGTGACACAATGGCTCGTAAAAAGCTTTAGTGCAGAGGAGGTACTTGAAAGTGTCACTAATGATACAAATGACTACATAATTGATGGTTCTGATGATGAGCTAGGGTTTGAAGATACTTCAGATGATGAGTGAGCTATCAAACCTAATTCTTGTTACTTTACTTTTTGCACAGTCATTTTACAGAAGTCAATGTAGAGAGTGAAATTGAAGTTATTGCAGATTTACAGGAAAGAAATGGAGAAATGGAACACAGCGGGACTATGGAGCTAACTGAGAATGCAGCTATACAAGATACATGTAGGCAAAAGGAGCACATGGAAGGAAATGGAACATGATGGAGGAAGGTATATAATTTTACAATTTCATAAAAAATTATCACTAACATTATTATAGAACTGAGTGGTCTTGGAGTGACTTGATAGAGCCAGTGAGTTATGAAAACTTCAAAGAAGAAGTAGGACCTACTACAGCCTTACCTGCAACACCACTAGAAGTTTTTCGTCCCTTCTTCAACTCCACAATCATGGAACTCTTGGTCACTGAAACAAACCGCTACGCTTCGCTGTGCCTAGGTGAAGAAAGGTATGAGTCATGGGACCCAGTAACTGAAGAAGACATCTTTGCCTACTTTGGCGTAATGATAGGAATGGGGCTGATCAAATTACCATCTATAGCCGATTACTGGCGTACAGATCCCCTATTTCACTGCAGCATTATAGCCGACAACATGACCAGGGATAGGTTCTTCCAAATACACCGTTTTCTTCACTTTTTTGATAACAGTTTCCTTTTATCACCTTCTGATCCTAGTTATGATTGTCTTTGTAAAGTGCGTAAATTCCTCACTCTCATCGAAGACCACTTCGTTTCACTGTATAATCCTCACTGTCAATGTGCTGTTGATGAGGCAATGATCAAGTATAAGGGTCGTTCGTCTCTGAAGCAGTACATGCCCATGAAACCTGTAAAGAGAGGAATAAAGGTATGGGCAAGGGCTGACAGTACCAATGGCTATATATCAAGATTCCAAGTAAATACTGGAAAAGAAGATTCATCTGAAGTAGGATTAGGAAACCGAGTGGTAAAAAATCTTACATCTGATATTCATCACCGTAACCATCAAGTCTTCTGTGACAATTTCTTTTCGAGTTTCCAACTCTTCTCTGATCTCCAAAGTGGTATCTACGCTTGTGGAACAATAAGAT